TAACAAGACAAAACTAAAAGTAAAACACCAAGTCATAACAATTACCAAGGCAACATCTTAAAGGAAGCCAGCAGTGAAAACACATTACCTACAAAGGGACAATTACAACAGATTACTTGTGAGAAACTGTAAAATAGAATGATATTTTCAATGGGACAAAGAGGGAAAAACATCAGTCCTGAATTCTACACCCCCAAAAATGTCCTTCTAACATATAAAAACAATAAGACTTTTTCAGACAAACAAAAATGTAGGGACTTACCTACAAACAGATAACCTACATTATAAGAAATATTAAAGGAAGTTCATAAAAGTAGAATATAATATATGCCAGATCTGCACCAAGAAATGAAGAGTGTCAGAAATAAAATAAATGAAGGTTTTATAAAATTATTTTTGTCTTGTTTTAATTGCTCTAAAAATAACCGACTGTTTAAAGCAGCAATATTAACAATATATTGTGTGTTTATAGCATATATAAAAATGAAATGCATGAGAACAATTGCACATTAAAGAGAGAGATGAATTGGAAATATACTGTTATAGGGTTCTTAAACTACATGTATAATATTATATTTGAAAATAGACTCAGATTTTATTTTTTTTAATGTATATGATAAACCCTAGGGCAATCATTTAAAAAGTTTTTAAATGTTGAATTAAACCCAGACAAAGCAAGAAAAGAGGTAAAAAGAAATAAAAACAAGTGAAACAAATAAAAAACAGTATGATAGTAGATTTTAATAACATCATATTCATCTTTAATGTGAATGGTATAAACACACCAGTTAAAAGACAGATATGATCAGAATTAACTAAAACCAACCAAACAAAAAACACAACAAGCAACCAAGATCCAAGAATATGCAATCTATGAGGAACCCATTTTAAATACAAAGGCCTATTTAGGTTAAAAATCAAAGGATAGAGGAAGATTTACCATGAAAACACTAAAAAACTTTACATTAATTTTAGACCAAGTATACTGCATAATAGCAAATATTATCTGATATAAAGAGAATATTATATTATATTCTCCAAGAAAATATAACCATCTTAAATGTGTATGCTCCCAACAATAACTTTAAACTACACGAGACAAATACTGGTAGATCTTGCAGGAAAAATAGACAAATCTACAACTTTAGAAGAAGATTTCAACAGTCCTCTCTCAGAAAAATGATAGAATGAGTAGGCAGAAAAATCAGTAAGGATATAGATGACCAGAGCAACACCATAAACCAACTTGTCCATGTGACATAGTATATAGTGTACTGAATCCAACTGCAGCAAAACACACATTCTTCTCAGACATTAAAAACCCTTAACAAGTTAAAAGAATAGAAAATATACAGAGTATATTCTCAAATCACATGGAATTAAACTAGAAATTAATAACAGAAAGATATCTATTTATCTGGTAAATCCCAAATATTTGAGAATTAAGCAATACATATCCAAATAATCCATGGGTCAAAGATTAAGCTGTCAGGGAAATGCAAAAATATTTGGAACTAAATGAAAACAAAAATATAACATATAAAAAATTTGTAGAATGTAGCCAAGGCATCTTTGGATGGAAATTTATAGCATTAAATGCTTATATGAGAAAAGAGCTATCAAAAGACCTATATTCAGTGACCTATTCCTTCACTTTAAGAAATTAAAGGGCAGTGAATTAAGTATAAAGTGAGCAAATGAAGGAAAATAATATAGAACAAAATCAATGAAATGAAAAACAAAAAAGTACATAAAATTAACCCAAGATTATTATTATTATTATTTTTTTTTTTTTTACTAAGTCATAACATTGATAAGCCTCTGGTCAGGGTGACCAAGAAGAAGAGAAAGACACAATTTATCAATATCTGGAATGAAAGATGGGGCCTCATAACTGATTGCACGCATTAAAGCACAATAAGGAAATACTACAAACACCTCTATGTTCATAAATTCACCAACTTAAATAGACTGAACCATTTCCCCAAAAAGTCAAAACCACTAAAATTTACTCAAGATGAATTACTAGGGTGGTGGATACATGACTCTATGCATTTGTCAAGCTCCATATAACTATACACTACAAAGAATGAACTTAACTGTACGCAAAATTTAAAAAATATTTACGAAAATGCCAGGGAGATTCCAACAGGAAATGCAGAGTATAACTATTTGCTAAGTAGCAACTTTTAAGGAGTACCAAGAGTAGAGAAAAAAAAATCAGCAATAAATGTAGTGTCATCACTTCAAAAATGTTGGTGTATAACTTCTTCAGTTCTGTCCACTGGAATGGCTGAATGCTGTTGATTCAAGCTTCTGAAGAGCCAGGCCTGTGTTTGTCTCCCTCTGTAGGCCCAAAGGGTACATAGCACAGTGCTTTTCAAACTAGTGAGTAATAGACTGGCCCCTTTTAACTCAAGGAGGAAAACCTTTTCTGGGCCCATTATGTTGATGTCTTTAATCAATTTGTCTTTAAGACATATATGTGTGTGTGTGTGTGTGTGTGTGTGTGTGTGTGTGTGTGTGTGTTTATGCTGATAATTCTTTACAGCTATGAAACCATAAAAAAAATTAAAACTTTGAAATAAAACTGCAATCCAAACAAAGCTTAAACATTAAACGGATGAAAACAAATCACTGCTCACAATGTGGCTGGGTCTTTTGAGGAGGGCAGGTCTGACTGCTGTTGGGACCACTCAATGCTCCTGCCCTATTTTCTCTTCAAACAACTGCACAAACCTCATTTTTACAGGACACCTTGGCATCATATAAGTTGGCTCGAAGGGGTCGGGAATCACATCCCACATTAACACCATCCTGACTACTACTGTACCCCGTTATAATTTTCCTATTCCCATCTGCACTGGCCTGCATTAAATAAAACTGAAGTCAGACTTGGTCCTTGTCCTCTGAGGAGCCTAAGTGTGAGGACATCACAGTGACGATGACACAGTTCGTCTATGTTTGAGGGGAAGAGATTCTACTGGCGATTTTGAGAGAAGGCTCTGCTGTCCTAGTCCCTAGTCTTTGCCTGCTTTAGAGGCTCTGACAAGAGGAAGGTGCAAACACCACCTCAGGTGGGATTTCAAAATCTCGCTCCACTACACTGATCTGTTTTGAACTATTTGGGGCTCCCTAAGGTTACAGAGATGCCTTCCACTGTGCTTTCAACACTGGAAAAAAAAAAAAATCACTGATAGGTGAGCAGCACTCACATCATCAGTTTAAATAGAAATTTTTAAAGCATCGTTTGAGACCTGATTCTGTTGATTACCTGTGATTTGGAGAAATTTGTGCCATAGCAATGAGTAGTCAAGTGTTAATTCTGAAGTAATGTTTGCCGTATTTCAATGGTGTGACCAGTTTTTGCTCGAGTCTGTAAGATAGCAAGTTGGGGGCTGACCTAGACCTGCATCAGAAAAAAAAAAAAAAAAAAAAAAAAAAAAAGGCCTTCTGTCATATTTTTCTGGAGTGCTGATAATGGCTCCTCGTTGGGCAAGATAGTCAAAGATCTCCCTGCTCTCCACCAGGCCCCGCATGTGCCTCCAACACCATGCTTGAGAAACTGATACATATGTGGGCGGTGCAGCCAAATCCTGGCCACCACGCTGACCAGCTATTTTGTCCGCAGAGCAAATCATCAGTCCCTCTGTGCCTTCATTTTCGCACCAGTAAAGTAAGGCAATAGCGACGAGAGTCAAATGAGAAGATGAAGGGAATGTTCTGACAGAAATACTAGGGCAACACTCTCTATAAATGTCAGCTGTTATTACTGTCACACTTAACACACTGGTTTGGAATCATCCGCCTCCTCTTTCCGCTTTAAACTCAACTGGTCCCTGAGTTCTTGGAGGGCAGGGAACGTCACTTCCTCCCCTCTCTACTCAGAGTCCTGGGCACACAGCACTCAAGGTGTTTTGAAGAGAAGAGAAGGAATAGAATTGGAAAACTGTTCAAGAGAGAGCAAAGAGATTGCAGCCAAGCAAAGGCACAAAGATGAGTCCTTTCCACTTTAGAGTGGAGGACAGTTCATATCTTTGTGCCCCTTAGAGTCAGCCTCTAACACAACATATTTTCATCTCAGTTGCCACTTAACGAACCATTCCCCACAGGTACTTTGGGGTGGACAATGGTGGTGATTCTGTGATTCTCTGCTGCAAAATAGATCTGAATGCTAATAAGCAAACCAATATTTAAAAAGCCTTATCTATGTGTGGAAATGTTTTGATCTTGGTGTTGGATAAACATGATATATATATATTTGTGTGTGTGTGTGTGTGTGTGTGTGTGACATATATATATATATATGGCAAAGCGATCGTCCAACTGGCCATCTATATATATAAAAGGCAAAATGACTGTTCAACAGGCCACTAGGTATACGTGCATTGATCTCCAGGAGAAGATGCTCAACAGTGACTTTGCAGCAGCGGTTCACGGATGACGCACACTGGAACCAGAGAGGAGGGAGCCCGATCCCCGCAGGACAGGCTGAAGGACCCCACCTGCCGGAGGGAGCCCACTCAGTCTGCAGATGCCCTTCGAGCCCCAGTACTGCCCCAGGTGCATCTAGTCGGGGTGGGACTGCAGGAGGTTGGCTCCAGGGTCTGTCTGGCGTCTTGCCCAGTTCTGTCCCACTGGCCACCTTCTAATTAATTTCCTTTCAATGTGCATGAAACCGTGCACCGGGCTTTTAGTATACCTATAATCTTATAATTTGCACACTTTACTATATAGTGTTATACCTCAAACCAAAATTTTGCAAAACCCTTTACTCATCAATAGCATTCAAGCTGATGTCTGTTTACAAAATCACCACTTCTACCTGGACAGTAAGTCCTTTCCTTGGCATCATGGCATATAACCAGGGGAAATCTGTCATTCACTTTGATTAGGCAAAGTCAAGGCTTCAAAACACTTTGTTAAAAGCATTTAAAATTGAAGTTCACATAGTTCAACCACCAGAGGGCGCCAACATAGACAGAATAACAGGAACAGACTGACCTTAGTAAGAAAGGGGTGAAGCTTTTCAGACAGGGACTGCAGAGTTTCCGCACAAGCAGGTATCAATGTCTTGGTTCCTAGAAGGACATGTGAAAATTTACTGAAGTCAGATTTTATTCATGGCTTTATTTTTCTCCTCAACAGTAGACATTTTTTAATAATAAGAGGAAATTGACTTTGGAGGTGTTAACAATAATAAATACCTAGTAAGGTTATGGGCACAAAAATAAGGATAAGCTCTCCTTTGAAAAATATGTTACAGATAAAGAAGAATCATCAAATATAGAAGTAAGTGCTGGCAATTTTTCTCCTTAATGTAAGGATTAAATTTCTAAACACATTTTGTGCCCACTGAAGATTAACAACAACAACAACAAATATATAGTTCCCATTGCATTGATGTAAGGCACCACGAGCATATATGCAAATTAGAAAAAGGTAGGTCTGGGTTGTGGGTTGGCCTGCACTGTATGGGATGGATTTGAGGCCCCATCATCACCTTCCAGGGTGGTTGGAATGTGGACTTTAGACCTGGATTGCTTGGGTATAAGTCCAGCTCTGGCTCTTCCTGACTGTGGGTGTTGGGCAAATTATCTTTTCCATGTGTTTCTGTTTCCTTATAGGATTATTAAGGGGAACAATGAGATCATTATAGATAAAATACTTAGAATAGTGCTGAGCATAGAATAATCATTCAATAAATGCTAGCTATTATTATTAGCTACATATAATACAAGTAAAATTCTGCCATCACATCCCCCTTCATAGCTAATTGGCTGAAGTAATCCAATTTGCACAAATTTGTCAAAAATATCCAAATAGTTCCACGTGAAATTGCCCCTAAAGAAAGAGAACCTTTTATCCAGCAGAGGAATGCTTAGCCCTTACTTTAGAGATGCCAGTTTCTCTCCAGGAATCTACTGATTACACACATTTCAGATGTCATAATTGGTACTCAGAGCCCTAGAGATGTTTCCGGGGCTATTGCTCAGAAAACACTCTGAAAGCCCACAGCAAACACTGGCTTCCAACGTGCTTCATTATTGTGTTGGTATTTTGAGATCATGCCAAAGGGATTATGAGAATCCTGGTTAGTTTACTAATTCTCCTCATTTTGTACTTTCTTTGACTCTGTTACCCCCAACACCCATTCATACGCACACATGCACACACACATTTATAACTCACATACCCATTTAAAAATGACAGATGATTTCTTACATAACCATATTAACCTTCGTGTTTATTCATTTGCATCTGTTTTAGGGAAGATTTGTATCACAATGAAGATTTGTATCCTTACCGTAACCTTCTTTCTAGCCTTATTAATTCTAGAAGACACAGTAGATATTATACAAGGTCCATTCTAGCCTTATTAATTTTTTGACACATGGTAGACTAGTCTGATGTTAGCTTGTAATTGTAGAGCATTTTGTGATTTAGGGTTCTTAATTCAATTTATTCATATTATGGGGAAACAGGAAACCACTGATCTTTTTTTTTTTCTTGGTTGCATTTTTCTTTTTTTAATTTATTGATTTGAGAGAGAAAGAAGAGAAAGAGCCATTGATGTTGTTCTGCTTATTATTTATGCCTTCATTGATTGATTCTTGAATGTGTCCTAACAAGGGATTGAACTCACAACCTTGGCATATCAGGACAATGCTAGAACCAGTTGAGCTACTCAGCCAGGGCCTGTCTTGATTTTCTTAACCTTTTTAAAAAGTAAAGTGAAATTTATAAACTTGCAGTTAATCATTATAAAGTATATGACTTAGTGACATTTAACCTACTCCCAGTATGGTTAAACAGCCACCTCTCCTGTTTAAAACACTTCATCATCCCATAAAAACACCCCATACACATTTAGTAATCATCCTACATTTCCTCTCCCCCCAGCTCGCTTTCTGCCTCTGTAGACATGCCTATTCTGAATTTATCATATTAAAAAGGATAATATAAAATATGATTTTTTGTCTCTAACTTCTTTCACTTAACTATGTTTTCAGAGATCATATAATAATCTGGCCATTCAGTGTATACAGTTACTTTAAAAAAAAAAAAAAGCTCATATGATGGCCATGATCTCATGCCTTGTTAACCTCCAACTACAGGGAGTGTAATTGATGAGGGGACCCAGCTGCTATGATCTGAAATCCATGTTTGCACAGAGGCCTCCCTTCCCACAAGCTGCTTATAGCTAGTGACTAAGTGTTGCAAGAATGCTAAGGAAGGCCATTTCTGGGAGGCACAGGACTCCTCTGTGTTCCACTCTGGCTCGAGTCAGAACTTGCTTAGTCTGAAGGACAAGCTAGACCTTCCACCCTGTTGTGTCTTTGCTCTGGGTCAGTTTTGCATCATGGCCTGAGGCTTTCCTAGCCTTTCCTGACTTCCTCCCTATTTCTTCTCTTAGTGTCTGATTCTTAGAGGACTTGGACTAACATAGTCTGGCATTCAAAGCTCTCTTAGATACTGCTTTAGCTCTCTTACATATATATGGCCTTAACCTATATTCCACCTTGGCTCCAAACCATGCTAATGCTTTTCCAACTCTGAGCCTTTGCCCATGCCCCTTCACTGAGACAGCACTCACCACATGACCACGTATGCCTGTTGGATCCCATTTGTCATTGATTATGCATCTCATGTGTCACCTCTCAGTCTTTCAAGACCTGCCTGCCAGGGATACTCTTTCCCTCCTGTAAACCTCTAGGACTCTTACCTTTGAGCTTTGGTATAAGCTTATTAACAGCAATAGCTATCCTTAACTTTGAACCCTCCAAAGTCCCCAGCTTATATAGGAAAAAACACTCTATTTGTACAATATAATGTAATTGGAAAATTAGGAGGAATTCTATTCTAGTGAATTTAATTTATAACATTCAGAATTTCCAATAGCTCACATCCATTTGGCTTGAGTGAATAAAACAACAGTGAACTTGAGTGAATAAAAATATCCTATGTATCAAAGCACTTAGGGCAGAATGTAGTAACTCAATTTTAATATTTGCTTAAATTTTATTATCAAACTTGGTTGTTTTTTCCCTCCAAAAAGGAATTATATAAAATCCTCAAATAGTTTTGAGTTTGTATATGAATGTGGACCACGGGACCAAGAAACAGTTTAAAAGAATGCTACCTCCTCTAATAAAGGCACATTTCGCCCTAAAGGCTGGCAAGGCCAACATTCCGCCCCTTGGGCTCCTCCAGAAATAGGAAAGGGAGGCCCTGTCATTTTAATGACCTTTCACGGGGTAAGGTATATACACAGTAATAGGAGAGGGCATCGATGAGCTCAATCCATAGAGAATCTTTTTTCCTCACATATGTCTGATCATCTGTGGTTCGTATTGTGGTTGACATTTATCAGGTGCCTATTAACTCACTTTTAATCTTGACCACAGACCTCTCCTGGAATAGGACAGGAAATTGAGGCTCTGTGAGCAAGTCATGCTGCTAGGTCACTGACCAAAATCCTTGTTTCTTGTAGGTGCTTAAAATATATGCTAATCACATATAGTTTCATTTCTTCCCCCAGCCCCAGCCTGGTGCTTCTTGGGCGGGGGGGGGAGGGGGGGGGGGGGGGGGTTGTGGGTTTTTTTTTGTTTGTTTGTTTGTTTGTTTGTTTTTGTGGCAATGTTCTTGGGCCATTCAGCCCAAGGAAATTGCCATGGGACTGAAAGCCAGGTTTGGCATCTAGCCAGAGAACAGCACCAGTATCAGCTCAGCAGCTGCAGGTAAAGATTGTGGCTTTTTCACCTGAGTCTCTAACCATTTCCAGTTAAGAACATAGCGCTCAGGTAGGACCTTCTCAGGTGGCAAGCAGGAAGAGGGTGGCTAGTGCAAGGATCAGATAGCACCTTCTTGGACGCTCACTTATTAATGATTTAACAAGGGCGATCACATGGGGAGACTGCTGTTTTCCCCTGCCCTCGCTTTCCTCACTGACAGACCTGAAAAGAGAACAAGATGGACGGGCCCAGCAAAGAGGAAGAGGAGGACAGCACCTTCACCAACATTCCTCTTGCAGACGACATAGGTAAGGGAGAACCTGGTGGATTCTGAAACATAGAATTCAGCAACTGCTCAGCCATTTTTTTAAAATATCAATTTTATTATTTTTATTACAATGGTAAAACATTCTCTTTGTAGCGAACTTGAAAAATATATAGCTACAAAAATAAGAGGGGGAAAAAGCTTTTAAGTACCATTTTTATTTTTCCTCTTAAATTAAGTGACTATTTTTTAAGTTCCTGTGGTTGAATTATACGTATTTTGAAAAAAGAAAATCAACACATAAAAATATAAAATGTTTATTTCCTAAAAGCTCAGGAAACATGACTTCAAATTTGATGCTAAAGCAACCTATGATATTATCATATTTTATTCAATTATAGTCTATTTCTTCTCTATTTTATAAAATAATTTTATTTCTGAAGAATAGAAATAGGTTGCAATTCACTTTCAGAATTGTTTAAGACATGCTGATCATATAAAATACTATTTTATATGGGTTTTAAGTAAGGACAAAGTTGCTGAATTCAACATGAGAGAAGGAAAAGGTGGGGGGTTGTGGGAGAGATAGTAATAGTTGTAAAACGCTGATGGAAGGATAACTATCCCAGAGAAATTAATAATGCTGAATTGCACAATGGTAGCTGGAAACACTTCAAACATATAAGTACTCACGTCAGGGGGTGTGGGGGTGGGAGTGAGGGGTGTGTGTGTGTGTGTGTGTGTGTGTGTGTGTGTGTAGTTGGCATTGTTTTGTATCCAGTTCCTTCAGCACAACCCTAGTAAGAAGCCAGAGCTGCAGCTAAACAATGGGGGTTGCTGATTCTGATTAACAGGGAACAGAGCATGAATATTTAACATCAATTGCTCTTTCATACAGCCACACTTTCCCACTTTCTACCTAGATGCTCGATTCAAAAAGCTTCTTTCTAAATTGTGGACAGACTTAGCACAACCGCCAGCCAGCCAAGCTAAGCTGCCCCTCCTGGCACCGTATGAGCATGCTGGGGGCTTTGGAAATCAGACAGGAGCATTCTCAGCTTTTATGCAGAGAGGAAAAGAC